AGGAATGCCTGGATGGGGGAATATTGGAAGCTTGGTGATTATTTAGGAGGAAGTTGTAGTAGTTCAGGGAGAGTGATTTAGGCCCTGAATTACTGCTGTGGTAAAGATGGAGAGCAGGGCAGCAAAGGAGGGAATTCAGAGACCCTGCTTTGGTAAAATTGACAGGATCTGGGGGAGACAAGGAAAGAGAGGAGTTAAGGTCAATTTGGGTTTCCTAGTTTGGGTAATTTAATGGCATCAAATTCCATCTATCAAAGGAAACTAAACAAATGAAAAGTAAGGCCAGAGGCATTTTAGGGGGAGGTTCCATTTCGGATATGTTAAAGTTGAGGTGTTAGTGATAATTCCAGGTAAATAAGTCTACGTAGTTGTAGGAAATATGGGATCTGAGTCTAAGAAAGGAAATATGAGGTGTTGAGAGCCATGAGAATGGAAGAACTAGCCTTGGAATATTTGTAGAATGAAAAGGAGAAAAGGCTAGGGATGAGTTCTTGAGGAAAACTGATGTTTTATGAGCAGCAGGTGACCTCATCAGAGAGCAGTTAGAGAGGTCATAGGGGAAATTGGATAGAAGCCAAGGAAGAGAACGCTTCTAAGTTTTCTAAAACTTAAAATCAGCATATCTACTTTACTTAAGCTAGCCTTAGAAATTAAGTTTCTTTCTTTCTTTCTGTTTTTTTTCTTACTTTTTGGCCACACCGTGTGGCATGTGGGGTCTTAGTTCCCAGACCAGGGATGGAACCCGCACCCCCTGCAGTGGAAGCGCGGAGTCTTAACTGCTGGACCACCAGGGAAGTCCCAGAAATTAAGTTTATTTCATAGAGGGAAGGTAATATGACAGTCACACCTTGTGATTTCTTATCATTGTAGTGTCCTTCTGTATCTCAGTGTTATATTTTTAGATCTCTCTATTAACTGAAGATTCATATTTACCTTTAGTCACAATCTCTTCTTTAGTACATGTACATTGGAGATCTTGATTGGGTATTAATGTGAGTAGAACTCAGCCATATGAGTTGGTATTAGTTATTGGCTGTATAGATGAGTGGTTAAGAAAATGGACTTTGGACTTTTATTACCCAGTTAGATGAACACCCTGTGTGAAACTTCATGTTTCTTGGATTTCCGTTAATGTTTATTATTATATTAGAAAAGAAGGTTCATGCCTGCTCCTGAGACTATTAACTTCATGATAATGGTTTCTTTCAGTCAATTTTTTTTTTTAAGCATAGCACAACTTATTACATGGCATAGCTAGTGCTCAGATGTAGTT